ATACCCGATAAGACAGCTTGGATACACGTGCACATGTCACATCATTGATTATTCTCATTTTTACAAAGTCTATGCAAATTTAGTGTATATATTCACACATATGCATATTATTTTGAAATTGCATGAAATATCACCTGTCGATGCGATTTTATAAATTCATTTGGTAAATTTGTATGTGTAAATCTAGATTCCTTGTCCAACACAAATGTCAAACACATGACGAAAATACCAGGTGTGCTGTTTGTGTATATGGCCACTTTGGTATTGAAGGTCACTAGGCCTACAGTACAATCGTTTCTCTTCAGATGATAAAATATCATTCAGAACCATCTTATGTACCAGGGCCCACTTGCACAAAGCGATCTTAGCGCTAAGACTATTGTAAGCCTATGTTAAAGTATAGGAGTTACGATGATCTTAGCGCTAAGATCGCTTTGTGCAAGAGGGCCCTGGTGGCACCACAGGTATCTCACTATCAACATTGTTTGACACCACGACATACGTGAATGACACTAAAGGTAGGTACATGTACGGGTTTCCTCGGTGGATTGAGTTAGTGGGTGAGATACAGATAACTACATGTCAAGTAAATCTGTATCTTAAAACAACTTTTAATTGCATCATAATAGTAAAATAATGTAGTTATTCGTTGTATGAATGTGAATAGGCAGACTAGTCAGATTATGGTCATAGTCAAGAAAGGGCATGGGCGGATACAGCTTTTTTGATAAAAGGGGGGGGGGGGGGGGGGGGGGGTGCACAATTAAGATGTATTTATTGTCTTTGGTGGTAATTTATACAGAAATAAAGATTTTTTTCGAAATAAAAGGGGGGGGGGGGGGGGGGGGGGGCGGTGGGGGGTGCGCAACCCCGCACCCCTCCTCTGTATCCGCCCATGAAGGGTTAACAAAATAAGATCATATCACGACCTCCGGGTTATCATTACGGAAACACTATGGGAGGAGCTTGATTTGTAAGTAGTTTTCATTTGTGTGCGATGATATTATGCGGTCGATAGACCATGCTTGTAACAGACGAGTATCTATAACCATCTGAATACACACAGTACCTCCAGGGGGAAGTAACGACGACGTGATGGTGTATACAGTAGTGGGAGTAGTATTCTTCATCCTCATCATAACCGCAGCAATGGGCTTCCTGGTCTTCAAAAGGAGGTAGGTGTTCATACATCAGCGTGTCATACGAATCGTTTTGGGGAAGGAAAGGAACCCTTCAGCAGTGTTGTGTCTCTTGCATCTTCCCGAGACAAGGGCGTTAACTAACTATAAAAGTCCAGTTTCCATCCTAGGCTGGAATGTCCTGGCTTGATCGTAGCGCCAACAGTGGCAGAGTTATGTCCCTCCTATCTTCCTCATATTGACCAATCAGATCCCATCTCTCATGTCACTTGCATTTGCTTCAAACAAAATGGCGTCGCCCATTCACGACGGTCTGATCGATAATCAAGATCTATATTATAGTAAAACGGGTCCTACCCCGCGAAGTGCATCAAATCTCTTGACCACCTTGGTCAAAAACATGAAAAGATTTGGCGCCCAGTTGACGGTACACATGCTTTGCAAATCCTGCAGTCGACCGACACGTTGATCGGCACATTGAAATCCATGATGTTTACGAACCAGATGTCTAGTTCGTTACGCGATTTTGATTGGTCTTAGCATAGACTCGTTAGTCCAGCCAAAATGTACTCCGGAATTCCAGCCTAGTTCGGTAAGGGTGGGAACTGGACTTTTATAATCAGTTAACGCCCTTGCCTCGGGAAGTAATTGTGAACGCGTTGGGTGTCCGGATAAGAATATATATCCCCAGCCACGTATGCTTATCGTAAGAGGCAACTAAATGAATCGGTTGATGTGGATCGATGACTTGGTTGATTGCATGTCAACACATCTTAAATGCATGGTTGGATGTAAATCCGGAATTCCAGCCTAGTTCGGTAAGAATGGAAACTGGACTATTATAGTCAGATAACTTTTTTAGATGTCTCTTGCAACTTGGGATACATAAGGCTGAAAACCAAACTCTACATGTTATCGTCGCGAGGGTGAAATTTCCAATATGTTCGATTCACGATTACGATAATTAGTTGTTTAGGTGATATCTGCTCATCTGCAGACGTATTTGACAAATGTAACAGTTATAGCCATCACTGGTCACAGGTGTGATTCGGGTCATGTATTTCTGGTCCTGCTTTACTAATTAGATTTATATAGCCAACTCGCCAACGCTTTATTCAATTACTTGATCAAATGATAAATGTTTCCAACATTTTTTTTTTCGTTTACGGATTTAATTTCCTGCCATGTCGCCATGATAAACGCATACCATTGCAGACGGCGACACAACCCGGAGCAGCCGATAAACGACGACAGTGCAGATACATCACGTCACGGCGTGGGCTACGACTAGGTCGGCAACAGCCGACACTATGATCAGATAGATCCCAACTATGGCACCTATTGTTTTGTAGAACACAACATATGATGTCGCGGTCATATTCGCCTGTTCTGTCCATCTCAGTATCCCCCTAAGATTTGCCATGTCCCATTTACAGTTTCCATCTTGTGGAATAAAAGCGAGAAAACCTTTCCATATTCATCAGAAATGTCTGCTAAAAGTAAAGTCGATTGGATAATTCCGACGATATCATGAGCATGTGTTTATGAATCACTATGAAATGGTGATGATACCTGGTGTTCGCGAAAAGGTCAGCGTATCCTGCCCCACCGGTGGTACCAGTCACAAACACATGCAAAAGCAAGTCAAAGTAAATTTTATCGTTATTTGTATCTTGTAGCTGAGCTTTTATAAAGATTGCTCTGAACTTGACTAAAATAGCACTGACACACTTAACACATTGAACAGGGCACACTCACAGCAGTGTCGGTCAGTGCGCATGGTGATCGGCGACTAAAATTTATTTTGTTATACATGAACACTTTCATAGATTTTGTATGAAAAAACACGATCGATCTGTATATCCAATAAAAGATTGTTTAGACTGGATGATCCTACACTTGTGTGTGTGTGCGTGTGCGTGTGCGTGTGCGTGTGCGTGTGCGTGTGCATTAGTTACATGTTTTAGTTTAAATATTGAAGCCATAATGTAATAATTTGTACATTGCATTCTTCTAAAGCACAGCCTAACTTGGCCAAAGGGGGCACGGGTGGCCCAGTCTTCTGATGGGCCGCAATTCGCTTTGCAGAGTTGCGTCCCTTGGCCACGCCAGGAACCTATGATTGTGAGTTCGAATCTCGGTTCGCCCCGATTATGTTTCTAAGTTTGTCAGCACCATCCCGTGCTCGTGGGTTTCACCAAAGTGGTAAATGTCTGAGACCTGCATCACTTCGGGCTTTCCTCCCACATCAAGCTAACACGCCGCGATATAACTGGAATACTGTTAAAAGCTGTGTGAAACACAACTCTTGGCCAAAACGTCTTCTATGGATCATCACATTTTGATGTCGCATCAAATGATATGTGGGGAATGTCAGTACCAGTGAAATATCGAGTTTCGGGATGGGACAGTTTCTAAAAAGGCTCCCTCCACATAAGAGCGAAAAGAGGGCGATTCCATGCCTGTTTTACTTCGATACCAGTACGTAGTGGATGCCTATTTTGAAAATACCGAATTCTTACCAGCTTCAAAGAACGGAAGCAGGTCTGTTTCAAGAGATTCGACAGTGGGTGCACTATAATTAAGTGAGTGAGTGAATATGGTTTTACGCCGCTTTTAGCAATATTCCAGCAAAACACGGCGGGGGACACCAGAAATTGGCTTCATACATTGTACCCATGTCGGGAATCGAACCCGGGTCTTCGGCGTGACGAGCGAACGCTTTAACCACTAGGCTACCCGACCGCCCCGCACTATAATTAATTACCCGGGAAGATCCAGGTAGAGTATAGGTCTTCAGCAACCCATGCTTGTCGTAAAAGGCGACTATGCTTGTCGTAAGAGGCGACTAACGGGATCGGATGGTGGGGCTCGCTGACTTGGTTTATGCATGCCATCGTATCCCAATTACGAGGATCGATGCTCATGATATCAATCACTGGATTGTCTGGTCCAGACTCGATTATTTACATACCGCCGTCATATAGCTTGAATATTGCCGAGTGCTGCGTTAAACAACAAACAAACAAACAAAACATGCTGCATCTGCCACGTTTGCCAATAAGTTGCCTTCTTCGACTGTGAATCTAAAATTGTTAGTTTCAATATAACGTACTGATTATTTATTGATATTGTGCGGCCATTTACTGATTTAGTTCAATCTAGGAATGTACGCACCGATTTCTGGGGGGCGGTCGGGTAGCCTAGTGGTTAAAGCTTCGCTCGTCACGACGAAGACCCGGGTTCGATTCCCGACATGGGTACAATGTGCCAATTTCTGGTGTCCCCCGCCGTGATATTGCTGGAATATTGCTAAAAGCGGCGTAAAACCAAACTCACTCACTCACCGATTTCTGGGTTATAATCACCTCGAAACAGTAACAAGAACATGGATTGACAGGTCACCTTCAATACGGCTCTGAGCTCTGAGTTCAGGTATGAGACTAGTGTCAAAGGCTAGTTTGGGTTTTACAGACAGGAGTGAGTGAGTGAGTGAGTGAGTGAGTGAGTGAGTGAGTTGGGTTTAACGCCGCTGTTAACATTATTCCAGTTATATCACGGCGTGTCAGCTTAATGTGGGAGGAAAGCCCGAAGTGATGCAGGTCTAAGACGTTTACCACTTCGGTGAAACCCACGAGCACGGGTATGGTGCTGACAAACCTAGAAACATAATTTGGGCGAACCGGGATTCGAACCCACAATCATAGGTTTCTGGCGTGCCCAAGGGACGCAACTCTGCACAGCGAATCGCGGCGCCTTAGACGCCTGGGCCACCCGTGCCCTCACAGACAGGAAATGTGCGAGACAATAACCAAGCTGAATCCATATGAATTAGTTTGTCACCACAAATCAAACCAGACCAAGTGTTCAGATTTTATTTATCTCACGGGGCAAAATACACTTATATAATGATGTAAAAGTTTAGGATTTTAACTTGGAAAACGAAATTGCAGAGACGTCAAATAACAGCTGGAATTAAAACAATCCAAGGACAAAATACACATATATGATAATGTAAATGTTTAAGATTTTAACTTTGAAAACGAAATTGCACATACGTCAAATAAAAGCTGGGATTATGGAAAGATACATCTAAATTAGTCAAATGTGCACCCATAAAGGACAACTCAATACACCCTTCACTCAAACAACGGATCTTATACATTACGTGCAAAATGTGACGCTAGATATGATAATCGTTAAATGCCTATAAGTGTAAGACAACCTGCATTCCAGTGTAGTGATGAAGATATGGTGAATATTTCACTACTTAGAGCAAGGCGGCAGCGACCAGCGCTCATCGTCAAAATACATCGTCAAAATCGTGATTATAATTATCTTAAACAGAAGTGGATTTCTCAATATCCTTTGGGCGCTATGCTATTGCACAAAAAAACAAAAAAACATCCACGGATAATCATGAGATACATTGGGATGGTATATGTTGTTATCCCTGACAGAAGTACATCCGCAGCTAGGTTTAGGCGTGTTGCTGATTAAAATACGTGTTAAAGTTATATCTGTTTACAAGTAATGCAATCATACATAAGTTTAAAAAAACCCTCTTTCTTCCAAGCCGCATGTACAATAAGAAGTCACACAAATACATTCTGCCGGGCCAAAGAATAACAGTCGCCGAAATACTGCAAACGTTATGTCCAAACCTATCACATTACCATCGAATAACTATTTCTTTTTTGTTCCATTTTCAGCCACCATCAAACATGGGTGTATACGTTCTTTTAAACGGGAGCTTTTAGATCGTTAGGGAAAGCATAAACAATACATATCTAAATTAGAGCAACAAAACCCTTTCCGCTTACATACGAAATCTCTGTCCATTATACGATTCCGACTATATCATGTGCATGTGGTTAAAATGTTTACATTGATGCATGTCCTTCAAATAATTTCGGGTTCTTTTCAAAATGGACATACATACACTATTACACATACACAATTTAAGGCACGTAGACATCGTACATCTTGTTTGTGTGCACATCAGGGATCCCCTTCTTCTCATGGGCTACAGTGTTGAGGAACTGGTCATATGTCATGCGCGATGAGTTTGTTGATGTACTTCTGGTTGGAATGTATCCTTGTTTCTCATCTACGTTTACTGATGGACTTCCGTTGCTGCCGTTGCCACCCCTGCCGCTGTGTAGTTTCTCTAGACTCTGTAACATAAACGATAAGAGACAACGTAAACATATAATTGATACCCCTGTTTTTCACTATCGATGGATGTAAACATGGATGTACATTTCCAAATGCATTAACTCTGTAAAATAAATAATATTGCGTCATGTTCCTGGGTGTAATTACTGAGTGAGTGAGTTTGGATTAACGCCGCTTTTAACAGTATTCCAGTTATATCGCGGCATGTCGGTTCAATGTGGGAGGAAAGCCCGAAGTGATGCAGGTCTCAGATGTTTACCACTTCGGTGAAACCCACGAGCACGGGTATGGTGCTGACAAACCTAGAAACATAATCGTGGCGAACCGGGATTCGAACCCACAATCATAGGTTTCTGGCGTTGCCAAGGGACGCAACTCTGCACAGCCCTTAGACGACTGGGCTACCCGTGCCCCCTGTAATTACTGAAAAATGTGGTTTTTGAAAAAGAAGTATAACGTGCACGTTACTCGTCGTAAGTATACATGAGATACCGCTCCTATGTGAGCAGATGCAAACTATGTTTTGCCTTTGTGTGAGTGAGCATGGTTTAACCCTGCTTTGAACAGTATTTCTGTTATATCAAGCCGTATCAGCTTGATGTATAATGAAAGCGAGAAGTGATGCTGGTCTTATGTGGGGAAACCCACATTGCTATGGCCAATATGGGATTCGAACCCATGATTTTTTCTGGCACGCTATTTGCGGCACCTTTAACGACTGTGCCACTTCTGCTCCTGCAAGCGCTTGACGTTAGGGTTACGTAAGACACTGTTCAAATACACATTGTGTTGTGAGTGAGTGAGTGAGTTGGGTTTAACGCCAATTTTAATAGTATTCCAGTTATAAGCGTGCCAGCTTAATGTGGGAGGAAACCCGAAGTGATGCAGGTCTCAGACGTTTACCATTATGGTGAAACCCACGATCAAGGGTATGGTGCTGACAAACCTACAAACACAATCAGGGCGAACCGGGATTCGAACCGAAATCATAGTTTTCTGGCGTGACCAAGGGACGCAAATCTACACAGCCAATCGCTGCGCCTTAGACGACTGGGCCACCGGTGCCCACCATTATGTTGTGAATTTAGAGGACATATTTATGGGGTGAGGTGAAATTGGGTTTAACGTCGCGTCCAAGATCATTGCACTTATATAGCGACGTGCATGCACGTGTGTGTGTGTGTGTGTGTGTGTGTGTGTGTGTGTGTGTGTGTGTGTGTGTGTGTGTGTGGTTGCTTGTACTACTCCGGACTGATGCCGATTTATAGTTCTAGCCCACTGAGATACCATGCCGCAGTTTAACATGAATACCCCACTCAGACACAGTATACTGACTCCGAGCCGACCAGTCCTTGTTTTATCCCCTTAATGCCGAGCGCCAGACAGGGTAACAACAAGTACCATCTTTTAATGTCTTTTGGTATGACGCGGCCGGGGATCGAACCCCCATATATTTATGGACGTTAGAGCAAATGTTGTTTGAGGACATCATGTGATCAGTCGCGACCCAGGGTACAACTGAGACATCGATGCCTTAGGGTCCACTCCGGTTGTGCCCCTTAGATGTCAGCAGCAAACCTATGTTCATGGGTTTAAACTCGCCACACACGCCCTCCCTCATTTAGGACACGTGTATGTATCAACTAGTTCACGTTCTTTGGCTGAAATAATGCCGATGCGACGATAAAAATTAACTCACTCACTCAATCAGGATACTCGCCGTTAAAACCCAACACCTGCTCACATACATGTACTTATACAACACATAAGTCCTACACATCCATTACCAGATAAATACATGACCACTATAAGACCAGGACCCACTTGCACAAAACGATCTTAGCGCTAAGACTATCGTAAGCCTATGTTAAAGTATGGGAGCTACTATCAACTTAGCGCTAAGATGGCTTTGTGCAAGTGGGCCCAGATACCTGAATGTCTGTCGTATGATACAGTGATAAAATATTCTGATGGTGAGTATGGAAGGCAAATATGATAATTAAGCATTATGACCTTGAGCACCTTTAGTAGGAAATAGTTAAGCCGTGTTCGGAGAGGTTAATGTGTTAATACTTCACTACGGTGGCCCATAAGGGACATGGAGTCTGTTTTTCAATATTTTGATGTTGAACTTACTTTTATCTTAACCTTTTGCAAATTAACACAATCTGCCATACAAATATGTGATAAATCATGTATAAAAACATCCGAAAACATAGAAAATGTACTTTTCAGTAGCTTTTGAGTCGCTGAAATGTGAAGTGAAAATGTCAAAAACTAAAATGGAAATGTCAAAAACCAAAACGAAAAGGTCAAAAACTAAAATGAAATTGCAAAAACACAAAACGAAAATGTCAAAAACTAAAATGAATACACAGAAAACTATTTCCACCGCGGTGTAAATATTATCACCGCGGTGTAAATAGTTTTCTGTATTTTCATTTTAGTTTTTGACATTTTCGTTTTGTGTTTTTGACATTTTCATTTTAGTTTTTGACAATTTCGTTTCGTTTTTCAGCGATTCAATATCTTCTTTACACATGATTTATCACATATTTGTAAGACAAATCGTGTTAATTTGCAAAAGGTTACGATAAATGTAAGTGAAATATCAAAATATGGAAAAACAGACTCCATGTCCCTTATGGGCCACCGTACTTCACAGCTTTCTGTGTGAGACACCGCCGACGTACAGAATAGTTATATTATTTATTAGGGTGCGCATTTTTAAAAGCGCTGCTTGTTTACACTGTGGTGAAATTTGTACTGGTGTTTACCGAATCATTTTTTCAGGGTTGGCATTAATGTTGTAATCTTTGCTCATATTGCGTTCGAAGTATGGTTCATAGGGGGGCCCTTCTTTTGTTATCTGTTGAGGCAAATGTACAGTTTTACAAGAAACGATGATGATGACAAAAAATAATGCCCAGAGGGTGAAGCCCACATGAGTCCGTTTAATTTTGCAACAATAATGAGTGGTAATTGAAAGAACATTAACGAATGCAAATGCAAATGCAAAACGCACGCGCGCACGCACGAACGCACGCACGAATGCACACACGCACATGTATTCAATAACGCTTGCAATATACTGGGTGTTAGAACATCACTTCTGTGATCTTAAACTTGTCGGGTACGCATTTCAGCAGATGTAAACACGAAGGTTATAGCCGAGCGCAACATGCATATATGTTTTGGTATACGTAAATAAAAAACATCAACGACAGAAGTGAACAGTCTGCCGACACATATTCCATTGGCCGTAAAAGGCAAACGAGGGCTAACAATTATAGGAATGAATCGCTGAAAATCAGTGATGACACCAGGTGTTCGCGAAAAGCACGTTCTGCATTAACCGGTAGCACACACTACTCACACATTTACCACATATCAAATCACAGTGATATATCTAGTAATAAGCTAAAATGAAATTTTCAAAATGGCAGTAGTGACGGCCATGTTTGAATTGGACAGTGACGCCCACTTTTGTTCTCTTTATTATAAAATCCAGTCTTAGGGCCTATATGAGGTATTGGGCGTATTCCAGGAGAACTTGTTTCAATACTTAATATATTAATCATAATCCTCGTATACATGTAAATACGCCAACGATAGTATATATATATATATGTAATGAATGGACTGAACACAAAATAAATAATAAAATAGACGATTCAAGCGAAAAACAACAAATGATTATAAACTAAAATGTATGACCTTATAACCTTCACCTTCAAATACAGGATACCCCAAAAGAAATATACCACATAAGGATGAAACAAAAACAAAATCATGCAATATGAAAGTGAATAAGATAAAACAAGCCGCAAGAAGACCATGCCAAAATACACAAAGTGTGCGAGTAAAATTACAATTTTACCAAATGACTTTTACTGTGTGTTCACAAGGGTAGACTGCTTGGTCCTTCTTGCTTCTATAAAACTCGTATGATCCATTTTCGAATGCAAAGTCATTTGCCAGCTGTGATATTGGATAGTAAGTTAACGTTACATGTGTATATTAATTAATTAAATTATTTCATTATACTTTTCTACTGGAGTACTTTCTAAAGACGTATATATTTCTGATCACAGTTTACCGGTTATTCTAAGATACTTTGCTAACATATCCTGTGATAAAGTACACTTTTTGAGTTACGTCATAATGGGTGACGTCGTTACGCTGTTCAAATTACCTCCCCTGTGACCTAAAGTATCCATCAAGGTGGCGCATCCACATCAATTATCGATCGGTGAAATAACTTCTTTTAAACTTTTCGAATAATTGAAGTTGTCCTCTGGGAAGAAATCTGGCAAGATGATGTCAACCACCCCTCATGGCGCATGGTTATCCCCAACATATTCACCATATTTCTTAGATACGGTATTGAAACTCATTACCATGCTGAAACGGCTTACTATTTGGCATGATTTGTTCTCTTAATCTTTCATTGCTGTACTTTATATCATTGTAATTATAGTAAGATGGCTTAATGAAAGTATTCCAGTCCAATTGAAACTACAGTAAACTACGGTTATAACGAACACGCTTATAACGAACTGACGGATATAACGAACCTACTTTTTGGTCCCGACTACTTGCTGTAGTTATGCTGTATATATGCTTATAACGAACTACGGTTATAACGAACTAAAATTAGTAGTCCCTTTGAGTTCGTTATAACCGTACTTTACTGTACTTCAAACGACGCATAAACTACGTATCCGATCCATTCATTATTTCTTAATCTGCACAATATACCTCGTATTAAGCATGAACTATTTCTTAGTCTGCACAATATACCTCGTATTAGGCATGAACTATTTCTTAGTCTGCACAATATACCTCGTATTAAGCATGAACTATTTCTTAGTCTGCACAATATACCTCGTATTAAACATGAACTATTCTTAGTCTGCACAATATACCTCGTATTAAGCATGAACTATTTCTTGGTCTGCACAATATACCTCGTATTAAACATGAACTTTTTCTTAGTCTGCACAATGTACCCCGTATTAAGCATGAACTATTTCTTAGTCTGCACAATATACCTCATATTAAGCATGAACTATTTCTGAATATTTTTAATTAATTAATTTTTAATTAAATGAAAAAAAAGAAAGAAAAGATAACTACGATTTTACATAACAGACATATCAATTTCATATAAACTAACGGAAGACTGAGTGAAAAAAGGATTCAGGAATGATTTCAACATGACACTCAACACACAGGATGCACCGTGATATGCACTCAAAAGCGCAGGTGCATAATTAGTGACCACCTGATCCCATCTTACGACAAGCATATTCGCCTTTTATGACATGCATGGGTTGCTGAAGACCTATTCTAATCCGGGTGGTGAATTCTGTGACTCAGACAACACTTTGTGGACTAGTCTCATATGTCTGTGAATTAGGAGAACGAAGGATGGACGGTGCGTTATGATATAATCTCATGACATTGACATACCGAAGACTTCTTCATTGTCTTCATCTCCCTGATCTTACAGATGCATACGACGATGCCGACAACGATGAAAGCAGCGCTGACGCCGATGACGATCTTCTCTAGGAGTGTGAGACCCATGTGGTGGTCCATGTCATCATCATCTGTACATAGAATGAAGTCATAATGTGAGTGAGTTTGGTTTAACGCCGCTGTTAACGGTGTGTCTGCTTAATGTGGGAGGTAATCCCGAAGTGAAGCAGGTCTCAGACGTTTACCACTTTGGTGAAACCCACGAGGGCCAGTTGAGCGCTGAAAAACCAAGATACATAACCGGGGCAAAGCGGTATTCGAAAATAATGATTGAAATAACGAGTGAGTGAGTGAGTTGGGGTTAACGCCGCTTTTAACAGTATTCCAGTCATATCACGGCCTGTCAACTTAATGTGGGAGGAAAGCCCGAAGTGATGCAGGTCTTAGAAGTTTACAACTTCGGTGAAACACACGAGCACGGGTATGGTGCTGACAAACCTAGATACATAATCGGGGCGAACCGGGATTCGAACCCACAATCACAGGTTTCTGGCGTGCCCAAGGGACGCAACTCTGCACAGCGAATCGCGGCACCTTAGACGACTGGGCCACCTGTGCCCCCTCGAAATAACGAACAGCATATGAGAGGAAGAGTGTGTATGCACGTGTTTTAATAGTACACACATTAATGTGGTCCATGAATGTGAATGTTATAGTAGAACACACAAATATGTGGTCCGTGAATGTGCAGGTTATAATGGTACACATATAAATGTGGTCCATGAATGTGCATGTTTTAATAGTACACATATAAATGTAGTCCATGAATGTGCATGTTATAATGGTACACATATAAATGTAGTCCATGAATGTGCATGTTTTAATAGTACACACATAAATGTGGTCCATGAATGTGCACGTTATAATAGTACACACATAAATGTGGTCCATGAATGTGCACGTTATAATAGTACACACATAAATGTGGTCCATGAATGTGCACGTTATAATAGTACACACATAAATGTGGTCCATGAATGTGCATGTTATAATAGTACACATATAAATGTGGTCCTTGAATGTGCATGTTATAATGGTACACACATAAATGTGGTCCATGAATGCGCATGTTATAATAGTACACACATAAATGTGGTCCATGAATGTGCATGTTTAAACAGTACACACATAAATGTGGTCCATGAATGTGCACGTTATAATAGTACACACATAAATGTAGTCAATGAATGTGCATGTTATAATAGTACACACATAAATGTAGTCAATGAATGTGCATGTTATAATAGTACACACATAAATGTGGTCCATGAATGTCCCTGTATAATAGTACACACATAAATGTGGTCCATGAATGTGCATGTTATAATGGTACACACATAAATGTGGTCCATGAATGCGCATGTTATACCTGTAGGCACCTAAATGTGGATTTGAACCCCGAACCATAGGTGCACAGTTACACTGTACAGTGAGTGCACAGCAGAACATGAAAGATAGCCACTGTCGACACCACCAATTCGATTCAAACTTTTCTGATTATGGTTTCAACATATCCATGTCTTGTAAAATGTCAGAAGTGCCAATACAATTGATAAACTGAGGGAAGGGAAACACTGGAATTGAAGAAATTAAAAACGTTATCAAACATTTCTAGGTTGAAAACAGTTGCCGAAACACTGCAAGCCCGTATCAAATGCAACCTCAAGCCCTGAGCATAACCATGATACCCGCATCAAATACTTCATGGAATAACAATTTTTCGTTTCATTTTAGCCACCATCAAACCTGGTGTATACTTTCTTTCTTCGGAAGTCAAGCCACCATTATATATAATTACCTCTACACTAGAGAAGAAGGGTCAAATGGTACCCCGAACCGTGGAGAATCTGTTGTACAAATAAACGTAACGTTCATGTCAACACTGGCAATGTTCAACCCACCTGTGTCAGCAGGGTTTGTGATTTTAAGGTAGCCGGCGTCCACAGCAACGGTTCCTAAACTGCCACTTTCTTGAATAGATCCGAAGAACTTTTCTGTGTCACCTTTCAGGGCCTGTTCGTTGATAGTGCTGGATGAAGGTGTAATCTGGAAGTCAGCAATGACGCTCCCCCGCCTGGATTTTTTGAAAGAAAACAGTTTTATTTGAATCCTGAAAATACAAGTTGGGAACAAGTGATACTTGTACAAATATTCGCCCCCCGCCGTGACATTGCTGTGAACGCGGCGTTACCATTCAACGACTCACACATTCTAAAGTAAAAACAACTCTCTGGGTGGTTGCTCAGATGATAAGATCTACTTTCATCTGTGGAAGTATAATTTAACAATTTTTCAACGTCTCAATTTGTCTGAAAATGCGGCCTTATTTTAAACACATTACGAGCAAATACAGTCAGATTTACTCACATGTATCAACTGTATACATACTTAAATATTTTTTATCTTTTCCAGAGAGCAATCAAATCTAATAATTACATGTTCCTACGAGTTTTGTTAAAAAAATCCGTTTTCCATTGAACACAGAGTCTGATCTATACAGTGGTTAAAGCGTTCGCTCGTCCCGCCGAAGAACCGGGTTCGTTTCCCGACATGGGTACAATGTCTGAAGCCCATTTTTGGTGTCCTCTGCCGTGACATTGATGGGATATTGCTAAAAGCGGCATAAAACCATACTCACTCACTCACTCATCTATTCATGTCGATGAAGGCCACGTACGTGAAAGTGGCATGACGTACCTGATATTGATGACTTCAATGTTCTTTACAGAATCAGGTTTACTGAGCTTAGTCATCTGAAAAGTGACAACACATCGCAATGTAAAATCTTTTAATAAACACACTGGGCTAAGTTCGGGAAAAATGGGGAAACTATAGAATACTTTGATAGTTACGGAATTTGTGTAGTTGTATGGTAGCTATGTGATCACAGTAAAACCTCGTTAGTCCAAACCCCGCTAATCCTAGATTAATCACGGAAACGTAGATTCGTTAATCAGGAAATATATTAGTTCGGATACCTTCCGCTTCAAAAGGCGTTTCATTGTATCACCAACTGCACAGTCTTCTTCATTGGCATAGTCAAGTGATTCTGTTCATTTCTAAACCATCCTCATTGATTACAATGCGATTGTATTTACCTCGTCTCAATCTCTTCCGTTATCACTTTTACTATTGACATTAGTAAGCAAGGCCGACAACAGTAGAGCAGTACAATATATATGTAGAACATCTGATTTGAACAACAGAGCTTGTACCTACACCCTAAATGCCAATATTCAAAATGCATGTTTATCAAACAACATACTATATTTCGAAAATGTTTGCACAATAGGCAGACGGTTATATTTAACTAAGAAGTGTGTGAAAAGTATATTTTTATTTTAACGTGAGTATTGCCTTACCGCGTTCTCTAATTGGTTCTTCAGATTCATGTATTGCGCGGAGAGCTTGTTGGCGTAGTCCGTTGTATACTCTAGATTAGGAAGGCGCAGGGAGACCACGAGCTTCAGTGATGGTTCGGGACCTGTGATGAAGAAAATAGGGTGGAATGGATATGGGTTTACGCCGCTTTTAGCAATATTGCAGCAATTTCATGGCAGGGGATCCCAGAAATGGGCTTCACGTGTACCCATGTGGGGAAACGATCCCGGGTCTTCGGTGTGACGAGCGAACGCTTTAACCACTAGGCTACCACGCCGCTCTCTGATAAATATAAGCACAATGAACAAAGTCCATCATTAAGTGGTGCATAGATCCTTAGAACATTGAAACTGCATGGTGAATAATATGACCGTTAAGAAACAACATTGATGACTGAATCCATTCTCCTTCCCAAACGTCCCCCTCCCCCCGAAATCAATACCCCGTCACATACTTATCACATACTTTAAACAGCCAGAAAGAAAATATACACCCGTATTTGAGGGTGGCCCAAAAATGAAACAAAAAAGAAATGGTTATTCGATGAGACTGCATTTGATGCGGGTTTGCAGTGTTTCGGAGACTGTTTTCAGTCTAGTAACGTGTTGATGACGTTTGTAATTTCTTGGTCAAATCCAGTTTTCAAGTGTATACTTTCTTTTGTCCGGCAGTATATTTATGAATTTTCCTAACGAGAAACAAAGAAATCCTCTTTCTTTTTTATCTGATTCTAAAAGCAAAATATTGTACATAGCCCTAGTGTAAGATTTACTGTATTTCTTGTTATTAGAATATTTTCCGTTATTTGGAAACTGTTTTTTGAGTCACATCTATTTAAGATGGTGCCTTTTTACCTCCATTGTTTGTTTGACTTGCACAGGTGCTGCTGAAGCATATTCTCTGAGCGGACACCTGGGGCGTGGTTGCGTGTTGGGAGATGGCCAGACTTGATGAGTCATATGCCCCGCCCACAGGAAACAACAAGAACGGACACCCGGTGTCGGCATCGGTGAAGGTGAAGTCCTGAGGCTGACCGGTATTTCTTTTACGGGAGAACTTTATCTCAGTCACTCCATTGGTGAGTTTTCCTGATTTATCCACTAAGTTATCCACTGTGTCAATTTGTGGGGGACTGTATCCTGTGATGAACCTGAAAATGATGTTTGTTAATGACAGATATTTTGATACTAGTTTATCATACTGATTCATATACCACAGATCGAGATCAATTGTGCAGTTACAACTTTGGGTAAACAGAATCGATTACAAATATTAATATCCACATTTAGCTGCACATATAAGCCTAGCTACACACCTGCCTGAGACATAACAGTCTAGCTACACACCTGTCTAAGACATAACAGTCTAGCTACACACTTGCCCGAGACATAACAGTCTAGCTACACACCTGCCTAAGACATAACAGTCTACCTACACACCTGTCTAAGACATAACAGTCTAGCTACACACCTGTCTGAGACATAACAGTCTAGCTACACACCTGCCTAAGACATAACAGTCTAGCTACACACCTGCCTAAGACATAACAGTCTAGCTACACACCTGCCTAAGACATAACAGTCTATCTACACACCTGCCTAAGACATAACAGTCTAGCTACACACCTGCCTAAGACATAACAGTCTATCTACACACCTGCCTAAGACATAACAGTCTAGCTACACACCTGCCTAAGACATAACAGTCTATCTACACACCTGCCTAAGTCATAACAGTCTAGCTACACACCTGTCTAAGACATAACAGTCTAGCTACACACCTGCCTAAGACATAACAGTCTAGCTACACACCTGCCCAAGACATAACAGTCTACCTACACACCTGTCTAAGACATAACAGTCTAGATACACACCTGCCTAAGACATAACAGTCTAGCTACACACCTGCCTAAGACATAACAGTCTAGCTACACACCTGTCTAAGACATAACAGTCTAGCTACACACCTGCCCGAGACATAACAGTCTAGCTACACACCTGTCTGAGACATATCAGTCAAGCTACACAACTCAATGAAGTAAATGCAGGTAGTTACATAGCTGCCTGAAATATTTCAATCTAGCAACACCTGAGTTGTATTAATCTCGCTACATATATGTGTGATATATCAATCTAGCTGCATGCCTGCTTGAAATAATATCAATCTAAAACAAAGTTGTCTGTTATACATCAATGTAACTACATACCTATATGTTATATATCACTCTAGCTACACACTTGATTGTAGCGTATCACTCTAGCTACACGTACATATCTGTCTGAGATACATCAATGTAGCCACATACCTATATGTTGTATATCACTCTAGCAACACACTTGATTGTCACATATCACTCCAGCTACACGAACATAACTGGCTGAGATACATCAATGTAGCTACATACCTATATGTTGTATATCACTCTAGCTACACACTTGATTGTCACATATCACTCCAGCTACTCGTACATAGCTGTCTGTGATACATCAATGTAACTACATACCTATATGTTATATATCACTCCAGCTACACACTTGATTGTAGCGTATCACTCTGGACTACAGTACATAGCTGCCTGAGATACATCAATGTAGCTACATACCTATGTTATATACCAGTCCAGCTACACACTTGACTGTTAGTATCACTCTGGACTACAGTACATACCTGTCTGAGATACATCAATGTAGCTACATACCTATATGTTATACACCACTCCAGCTACACACTTGATTGTCACATATCACTAGGGACTACAGTACATAACTGTCGGAGATACATCAATGTAGCTACATACCTATGTTATACACCACTCCAGCTACACACGTGGTTGTTAGTATCACTCTGGACTACAGTACATACCTGTCTGAGATGTGAGTTGTGGAACCCTCAACCCATCCGATCACAGCGTCAGATGATGACTAAAGTTGAGAAAGGTTTTGGTTGCAGTACATGTATTGACAAGGGAAGGGGCTAGCGTACTGATGGAGAAATTAGCAACAAGGGCTTAACAACCAGATACATTGGAATTGAAAACAACATGTTCTCTGTTATTCACACGGATGTTGTATAAACATACTTCAGACACATTCTGAATCGATTGATACTATTTTGAAATGATTAATACTCCATTCGTAAATTAAACCAGCATAATATCCTTGTAATATGTCATTATTCAACTAATAGCTGTACATTTGTACATTAAAATGTTCTTGTAATATGTCATTATTCAACTAATAGCTGTACATTTGTACATTAAAATGTCCTTGCAATATGTCATTATTCAACTAATAGCTGTACATTTGTACATTAAAATGTCCTTGCAATATGTCATTATTCAACTAATAGCTGTACATTTGTACATTAAAATGTCCTTGCAATATGTCATTATTCAACTAATAGCTGTACATTTGTACATTAAAATGTCCTTGCAATATGTCATTATTCAACTAATAGCTGTACATTTGTACATTAAAATGTCCTTGCAATATGTCATTATTCAACTAATAGCTGTATAGGTGTTCATTAAAATGTCCTTGTAATATGTCATTATTCAACTAATAGCTGTACATTTGTACAGTAAAATGTTCTTGTAATATGTCATTATTCAACTAATAGCTGTATGTTTTTACAGTAAAATGTATAAATGAGGTTGAGTTTTTTTACGCACGTTTAAACATATTAGATACAACTAAACCTCGATGTCAAGAGAAACAATATAGAACAAAGGTTCATAATTTTAAATGAGATCACCTACCATTCTCCCATCAGGTGAGAATCCAAGCCCTATCCAACTCCTCGCCCCGTTCAGCCTGGCAGTGATGGTGAAGTTGACCATGTCATTGGCCACGTCCACGACCCAGGTCACCTGGTAGGGGCAGTCGTTGCACGTGGCTGGCCACTGACCAGTACATCCGGTGGGAGTCCCGGATCGTTCTGCAACGTTTGACATGAGACGCTATAAAGTTTATTTGTATACAACAAAGTACGGTTATAACGAACACGCTTATAACGAACTGAAGGTTATAACCAACTATTTCTTTGGTCCTGTCTATTTGCTGTATATATTCCGTACATTTGCTTATAGAGAACTACGGTTATAACGAATTAAAATTAGTGGTCCCTTTGAGTTCGTTATAACCGTAGTTTACTGTACTTGCCTATACAATGATAAGGTCAGACCCGTGTTGATGGTTATGATGAGGGTATTCCCATTACCATGATTTTAAAAATTCTGTCCCGTCAATGCTGGTAAGATTTTGTCGTGACTTCTGAGCCTTAACAGATTGGGCTTCTTAATCTGACAAATCACAATGCTTTTAAGAATGTATTTTGCAAGTACCGTGCGTCAGGAACAGATATTTTACGCCAGTTTCTTTAGGTTTATGGAGTGTATGTTTGAAACAATATTATTTCTTTCGTTTGAAGGATGAATAAGAAGGAAATAACTTTCTCCTAGCGGTTTGTAGCGATGATGTAAGTGAGTAGTCCACCCCGCTAGGTGGCGTTAAACTGGGGTATTTAAGGGGTGTGAGGATTTGGATTGTTCATTGTTCATGCAAGCACGGCCATTAGATTATTTCTATTTCTTTATGTGAAAAAGTATTGCATTTTCAATGCATTAATCTGTTGTCTGTATGTTTCAGATTTGTGACTGGGGGGACTGTACGTGCAGTCGTACGATGTGATGGTGCTCTGGACTGAAGAGCCAATATAATACTAATGTAAGCCGCTTTCATACGATGCTGTTCTGAGCTGAAGAACCGTTATAATACAGCGAGTGAAAATGCCCTAATACAGTATTTGCAGTGTTTGTGAATATTATTGTCAGTACGAATGTGCTTACTGTGGGTTCATAGGCTAGCAGCCATTATACTACACTATGATGTGATTAAGTGATGCAGCTGTATTATATACTTATTAAAGTATATATGTGTCGGTGTCAAAGTGTTTTCTGTGTACGTGTGGGCTACCGAGCCAGTATTACAATATTTCAATGTTTATATGTAGCTTAATGAATATATCAGGTTTAAGTGTTCATGTACATCCCCAGTAGATCACATGCATACTGTAAACCCTCCGGTAGTTGCTGCTTGCAGTCGTTGAGGGAACACGGTTCCAGAGTATGTTCTCTAAAGGTGTTGCTTACCTCTGGTTTTACTTGTCGGGCAACAGCAAGTTAATTTATGATCAAATAATGTATGTTTCATTGTATGTAAGATCCAAGCTATGGAACATTAAATGTATGTATGTTAACGCAATTGCGGGAATAAATCTCGACCGTGCAACGCACAGCGTGTCCTACTATTAAATGTGGTGTTGTAATGTAGCGTAATTGTTGGGTATATGAGTATACAATTGTTGACATATGTTGTTTAATTTTCTTTTTTCGGTTTATAAGTAAGAAAAAACACTTACACTCGGGTTTTTATGAGATTTAAAACCCTCGTCCTCGAATCCTTCGATTCGGGTTTCAAATCTCATAAAAACCCTCTGCCGTGTTTTATCCAACACATCCAGTTCCAGTTCATGGGGACACTCCAACCGTACGCACTCATTCCTCCTCCATACCTTATACATTATTTCCACCACGATAGGTATAAGTTGCTAAGATGTACATTCAAATTTGCGTTGTTTACTTGTGCCCCGTTTCACAACACAGGCTTTTATCGACGAAATAAGTGCAAAAAATGATATGTATGACAAACTATGTTGCTGCTATGTGTGTACTCGAACTCCGTAAAGTAGCATCTGTTGTTATTTACACAACACATGACGTTCTAGGTCCACGTGGTGTAAATGACGCTATGCCATGAGGTTATAGATCCAGCTGAGGACAATAACGCTACTTCGTAACGTTATATATTCAACGTGGGTAAATATCGTTACTGCATGGCATTCTGGGGCCACATGGTGTAACTGAAGCTACACCATGACGTTATATATTCAACTGAGGTAAATAACGCTACTTGATGACGTTATAGATTCAGCTTTGGTAAATAACGCTACTTGATGCCGTTATATATACAACTGGGGTAAATAACGCTACTTGATGCCGTTATAGATTCAGCTGGAGTAAATAACGCTACTTGATGACGTTATGGATTCAGCTTTGGTAAATAACGCTACTTGATGACGTTATATATTCAGGTGGGGTAAATAACGCTACTTGATGCCGTTATAGATGCAACTGGGGTAAATAATGCCACTTGATGACGTTATATATCCAACTTTGGTAAATAACGCTACTTGATGACGTTATAGATTCAACTGGGGTAAATAATGCTACTTCATGACATTCTGGTCCATATGGTGTAATTGTCACTACGTTGGGACGTTATCGGTCCAACTGGTGTAACTTACGCGACTACGGGTCCACGTGGAGTAAAGTAAGGCTACTACATGGCGTTCTGGGTCCACGTGGTGTAAAGTAAGGCAACTACATGGCGTTCTGGGTCCACGTGGTGTAAAGTAAGGCTACTACATGGCGTTCTGGGTCCACGTGGTGTAAATAACGCGACTACATGGCGTTCTGGGTCCACGTTGTGTAAATAAGGCTACTACATGGCGTTCCAACTGATACAAATAACGGTACTACAAGACGTACCTCTGAAGTTGATGGTAGCTGTGCCTCTGTTGGGTCTGTGGCCGTGATACTTCAGCTCGTCGTCATGGTAATACATAGCGTTGGACGCTCTTCCTGCTTCGATGCCAGATCGAGGAGTATGTATCAGGTTGCCGCTGTCTTGACCCCTGGCCCAAATCACAGTCATAGGGGCGGGATCGAAACTATAGTCAGCGCGCTCAGTGGCTGAAAAAACCCAAATTGACCGTCAGTTTTCGCATACCAGCTCTTAACATCTACAGATGAAAAATTCATGACCGAAGTGCATACATGTATACTATTTATTTGAAAGACAACCACGCGTAAGAGGTTTCATTGATATATATAGTAAATGAGTGAGTTTAACATCGATCCGATTAAGGGACTTCACTCTTCACCGCAAGTTCAGACGCCTAAAGCGATAGTAACTAACGTGAAATAAGGCGCTACCTATCTAGCCATCATAGCCTTCCCTGAATAACATGATATTTAATTCGAGTGAGTTATCAATTCATAATTTAAGATAAATGCAGTATTTTATCACAAAATATAGTTTGACCAGATATTACTGAGAATAAAAACATTGAAATTGTTAATTATCAATTTATTAAGTCATATACCAAGAGATAAAACTATAAAACAGCAAATTGTTCAATATGTTGTCTCACCATACCTTTTCTTAACACATGCTTCAATGCAGCAAGGCATACTGCCAATCAAGGAAGTTAGAAAATCATGAGTCATTCTGTCCCAATATCTCACCACCTCTGCTTTCATATCACATATATTCTTGGGGCTTTTTTCATTTATATTGTCCTGCATGATATCCCAAATATTTTCAATTGGGTTCAGGTCCGGACCATAGCTGGGCCATTCCAGGAGTACATTTTGCTCGTTAACCCATCCCTGACAATGCTTCGCTCTATTTTGTTTATCATTGTCACGATGGAATACCAACCCTTCGCCATTCAAAACGTGTGCTGCTGGACGGAGATGTTCTAGTAGAATATCAGTGTTCACTACACTAGTCATGTTACCTTCAAATACACACGGGGCGGTCAGGGAGTCTAGTGGTTAAAGCGTTCGCTCGTCACGCCGAAAACCCGGGTTCGATTCCCGACATGGGTACAATGTATGAAACCCATTTCTGGTGTCCCCCGCCGTGATATTGCTGGAATATTGCTAAAAGCGGCGTAAAACCATACTCACTCGATTCACTACACAGACACCCGATCCCATACATGAAATTTAGGACAACTATGGACGCTGGTAAATTGGTTGTTCTGTACCTTAAGTCCACATTTTTATGCAGTTTGAACATAGCCACACTGACCTTTCATCTGACAACATAAAATTCTCCCAATTTAAATTTCTACGCTCAAAACACCAGTTCAAACGTCGTTCTTGTTGTTCAGGTCTGATGGAATTCCCCTGTAATTCTGCCAATCCTTTGCATGCAAATGCGTTCTTATTGTCTCTTTAGAAACATGAACTGTTCCTCTATTAATCATTTAATGCCTTATATTTCTCTGCACATGCGTCTGTTTTCAGCCGCCAATATACCAAGCCGCCTTCTGTTACCAACAGTCAATTTCAGTTGCCCACCTGTTCCCTTTTTGTGCTCAATTCCATCTCCACTGTCAATATTGATCAAAACACGGTACACTGATAGTGGAATGTCTCATCTCACTGTAATGACATGTACTGATCGAATTCCTTGATTATATAATTTAGAAATAACAAATCTTTTATCCAAAGCTGCCATTTCCACAGCGGTTGTCGTCTGCTGGCGTGTTTTACCAAGGGAGACAACTGGTCATACTTAACAAATATGATACGTGGAGTTGTCTCCCTTGAATCAGACATAGTTCTACATCCATCTTTGATATGGTACATATTGATGCCCAAAATTGTATGAACTATTCTCAATAATATCTGGTCAAACTATACATAATAATTATATGATACTAAATGGAATGCTCTGGAATTGGTGTTACTCTTTTTCTCAACACAGGTTACGAGTATGAATACCATCATAGGGTGCATTCTACTGTTGTTTTGCACTTGTAGCAGGACGTGGAGTCATCCCACAGATGACATCCTTACCTTGTCAGTTTGCTGACGGGGTTAACATCTTTGGTCATGTGGGCAAGGCGTCCGACCTCGGATCAGAAGGTCCGTGGTTCGAATCCAATCACGGGACTTGGAAAAGTTTTATGCCCGCTGAATTGGCGCCTAACGTGGGGGGTGAACGTGTTCATATTTGAGCAAAATAAGTCTGCTACACCCCGATGAATTGAAATGACAACAGCAATGAGGAAGGAAGGATCGTTCCATCAACAATGTGTCACACGATACAGGCAACGTTCATTTGTTCAACCTTAGGGACGTTTGCAATCTACCCACCAGTGAGTTTCTTCCTGAACAGGATAACAGTATAACCGTTCTCCTCATAGCCGAGGGCAGCTGTGAGACTGTTAGTTCCACCATAGAAGTCATCATGTTGAGGGGTGGACCTGTCCCTGGTGTAATAATCTCCCACCCTGCTCCTCATCCCCCGGGCAGACCCGATCACCATATCCGTGCAGTCCATAGCGTGTGTGCGGGCTGGATGATCAGAAATATTTCTTAGTACAGTAAACTACGGTTATAACAAACTCAAAGGGACTACTAATTTTAGTTCGTTATAACCGTAGCTCTTTATAAGCATATATACAGCATAACTACAGCAAATAGTCGGGACCAAAAAGTATGTTCGTTTTATCCGTCAGTCCGTTATAAGCGTGTTCGTTATAACCGTAATTTACTGTAATAACATATCTCCTAGTCACACGACGTATATATCTGTGTTATCAAGCAGTTAGATTAATTATAGAAATGATCCCAATTCACTATTTGGTTGTTTGACACTAAGAACTTTGTTGATGGTACACTTATCATGAAAACATTCTTATTCTGTCGCTTCCGGTAATATAAGTAACAACAATTGCATGTTTTTTAGAAAAAAAGTAAACAGGTTTCATGAACCATTATGACTCCCAAATCCAATTTCATTGATGTGTACTTCTGATAACATCCATTTGCAAAAATTGTATATATTCTTAAGCATCATTCACACAGACACACATTACTCCGAGCGTCCGGTGCTGCAGTAGCCTACCTCCTTGCTTGTCACCACCAGGAGTCGCTCCAGGGATACCTGTTCCTGTTCTTCCCGGGGTAGGTTCTCCTTCAGCAGTTGGTTCTCCTTCTGCACCTGGCTCTGCTCCACTCGCCGGTTCCGCTGTGGTCTCCGGTTCTGCTCCGGTCTCTGGTTCTGCAGTGCTCTCTGGTTCTGCTGTGCTCTCTGGTTCTGCAGTGCTCTCCGGTTCCGCTGAGTGTTCAGGTTCTGCTGTGCTCTCCGGTTCCGCTGAGTGTTCAGGTTCTGCTGACGCCTCTGGTTCAGGCATTGGTCCGCCGCTTGGATTCCGTGCACTGGTGGGACCAGACATTAGGATGCATTGAGGTAATGCATTATTAGATGATCCTTCGGGCTCAGGTTCTGAATTGCCCTCTGGTTCTGCTGTTGACTCGGGTTCTGCTCCTGTTTCCGGTTCTGCTGTTGACTCGGGTTCTGCTCCTGTTTCCGGTTCTGCTGTTGACTCGGGTTCTGCTCCTGTTTCCGGTTCTGCTGTTGACTCGGGTTCAGCTCCTGTTTCCGGTTCCGCTGTCGACTCGGGTTCTGCTGCTGTTTCCGGTTCCGCCGTGTTTTCGGGTTCTGCTGTACCCTGAGGCGCGGGGGTTGGTAATGCAGGTAAATTTGGGAACAGCTGACACCCAGATCGAAAATCTGAAATAATTTGTTTGAATATATATTAAGATTTGGGGACTATAATCCACTTGGGATATTCTTCATATTCGTTCAAATATAGATTAACTTGCATATTAAGCCCTCTTGTAACTTCTAATCGTCATATCGCGACTCGCAGTTACCAATATCCAGGACACCATGGGCACCCGGGTTCTAATGAGTCTATTGCTTTTTTGTAATTAGCAACATAATTTAATCGGGTGTCAAGCTCAGCGACTTGGTTTAGTGACATAGTACCCCGACTTGTAATATCGGACACCGGATTGTCTGCCCAGATTTGATAATTGACCAGCCGCCGTGTTAAAGCTGGAATAATGCTGAGTGCGGCCAAAAACCCAACTCACGAACACAGATCATATCTATTAAATGTTTGTACCTGTAGGTTTCCACCCCAGGCCAACCCATGTTGACGTCTTCACCCTCATCACAACCTCCATTTCTTTCTCCTCCTGAAAAAAATCCACCATGAAACAATTATTATAAAATATATATTATTACACTTGTATTAAATATAAGTGGATTTGACATTGTTATCAGAGTCATACCTTCCAAATACATTCCCGTATACAAACCACACTGTGAGTGTGATATGTCGTATTCTCCTTCGATAACTTATAAAACTCAAAACTGAAAATCCTCCCAGTTGATCAGAACGTTGTGACCATTTCGGCTACAGTCTCGTTTGTTCCACATCTCAGGACACCTTCGCGAGAAGCAGGTGAGGTGAAATAGGGTTTAACATCGCGTGCAAGATTATTGCACGTATCTAGCCACGTGCATGCATGTGGGTGTGTAGGCGTGGCTGCTTGTACTGGTCCGGCCTAATGCTTGTTTTATAATGCAAGCCCACTGAGATACCATGCCACATTATAACCAACCCACTTACAGTATACTCCGGGCCAATCGGTCCTTGTTTTAGCCCCTTAGTGCTAAGCACCAAGCAGGGTAACAAGGGGTACCATATTTTAACGTCGTTTGGTATAACGCGGGCGGGGAGCGAGCCACCGACCTTCCGCTCCCCGAAAGAGGGTTAAGCCGATACACATACAGCATGTGTCACTACGAACCACCGACCTTCTGCTCCCCGAAAGAGGGTTTAGCCGATACACATACAGCATGTGTCACTACGAACCACCGACCTTCTGCTCCCCGAAAGAGGGTTTAGCCGATACACATACAGCATGTGTCACTACGAACCACCGACCTTCTGCTCCCCGAAAGAGGGTTTAGCCGATACACATACAGCATGTGTCACTACGAACCACCGACCTTCTGCTCCCCGAAAGAGGGTTTAGCCGATACACATACAGCATGTGTCACTACGAACCACCGACCTTCTGCTCCCCGAAAGAGGGTTTAGCCGATACACATACAGCATGTGTCACTACGAACCACCGACCTTCTGCTCCCCGAAAGAGGGTTTAGCCGATACACATACAGCATGTGTCACTACGAACCACCGACCTTCTGCTCTCCGAAAGAGGGTTAGGCCAATACACATCGAGGCATGTGTCACTACGAACCACCGACCTTCTGCTCCCCGAAAGAGGGTTTAGCCGATACACATGCAGCATGTGTCACTACGAACCACCGACCTTCTGCTCTCCGAAAGAGGGTTTAGCCGATACACATACATGCATGTGTCACTAAAGTCGTTTCCTGTCTTGTGGATCAGTGTCACAACAATATTTGCATCCGTTTACGATTCTTTGGAATCGGAAATTGTCAGTGGTACCAGTTTACGACCATTGCCGATTAGGACGTTAAAGAACTGGTAAGTGAAGCGTAATTGATGGTGACATTTAAAACAGAGAAACAAATACAAGGGAAACTAGCATATATGTGTTGCGTTTCTTTATTGTTTAAGCATGTATTTAGCTTACCGGTAATTCTCTGTAAAACAGTTGAAACTCAGAGCTCATGTTTCTCGTCTCGTAGCGGCTGTAGTCGATCGTCTTACTTTTCACCGTAGACACTATAAATATACATTACATTAAGAGGTTGAGTATATAGTCTAGCAGTTAACCGTGAGTGATAAGTGGGATTTAAAGCCGCTTTTGTAGTCTTTCCATTGCCAGCTTTATGTGGAATAAAAAGCCAAAGACGGTATTCGTGGACGTTTACCTCTTGCTGGAAACCTCAAGAGGTTCAAAGGTAGGTCATTATCTGGGCTAATGTGAGTTTCGAACCCAAGACTAGCGGATACTTTCACATGGCAAAGAGAATTAACACAGTGATATATATAAACAGTGTTGGACTTCATGGACACGAACCCTCCGGCGTTTATCGTGATATGAATAAAAATTATTGATGATATGTATACACATGTATGTAATTTTTACTATCGACGGCACCCGTGAAGATCCGGGATGGAATAGGTCTTCAGCAACCCTGCCGTAAAAAGGCGACTATGCTTGTAAGTGGCGACTAACGGGATCAGGTTGTCAGGCTCGCTGACTTGGTTGATGCATGTCATCGTATCCCAATTGCCTGGATTGATGCTCATGATGTCAATGACTGGAGTGTGTGGTCCAGACTCGATTATTTACAGACCGCCGTTATATACATGGAATATGGCTGAGTGAGGCAACAAAAAAACCACAAAACCACTATTGGTGGACGGATTCAAGATGTGGATTCACGTGTTAAATAATGTACGTTTCATTATTCACAAATTGGAAACTTCCGTAACCTGCAGGTAGCGACAGCCTATCCCAGAGTCACGCGGCTATTCACAAATGATGATAATCTGGTTACATGATATCCCCATAGGACTCGCGTTGATACTTACCCTGCTGACAGTTCTTGCCGAACCATCCCATATCACAGTAGCACTGGAACCGGGGGTAGGACGTCGCCTGGGTGTCCTCACATTGGCCATGTCCGCCACAGTCGGAGGCAGACTCACAGTCATCTGAGGAGGACAAGGCAGGTTGTTTAGATTGGCATTTATCCTCGGATTCTGTTCATGGATTTACGATGTATTAGGGATTTACGATGTGTTAGTTGACATAACCTGTAAGTGAGTGAGTGAGTGTGTTTAACGTCGCTTTTAACATTATTCCAGTTATATCACGGCGTGTCAGCTTAATGTGGGAGGAAAGCCCGAAGTGATGCAGTTCTTAGACGTTTACTTCGGTGAAACCCACGAGCACGGGTATGGTGCTGACAAACATAATTAGGGCGAACCGGGACTCGAACCCACAATCATAGGTTTCTGGCGTGCCCAAGGGACGCAACTCTGCACAGCGAAGCGCGGCGCCTTAGACAACTGGGCCACCCGTGCCCCCTAACTTGTAAGTGATGAGGGCCGGGGGTGGGGGGCGTTGGTGGTTGTTGAGGGGTTTGTTGGGGGTGGTGGGGGTGGGGGGATGTTGAGGGGGGTGGTGCGGTGGTGCGGTGGTGCGGTGCTTGATCAGTGCTTGGTGGTAGTGATACATATCTTCAGCATTGATGAGGTGTTTCTACGTATATATATCTTCCTCAATTGTTCTGGGCACCGTTGCACAAAGTGATCTTAGCGCTAAGACTGTCGTAGGTCTATGTTAAAGTATGGGAGTTACGATCATCTTAGCGCTACGATCACTTTGTGGAACGGGTCCCTGGACTCCGTTCCATAATGTGATCTTAGCGCCACTATTGTCTGTGGTGAAGTATGGGAGTTACGATCATCTTTGCGCTTATATCGCTTTATGGAACAGCTCTAGGACTCGTGGATGTTTAAGGTTTTTATTTGTAGAAGACGTTTGCTGTGCCCTTACACCTACAGTGGTCTTAAGTGTACAGTGGGTGAGCTTATTGATCAAGTGACACTATCCTCCTCAAAACAAGTTGACGTCTATCGAACGCATCGCTGTCTCGGCTGTCATTACGTGATGTAACAAACGACATATACCCAAGTACAACGATAAATATAAACATGATGAACTCAGTATTCGGAGTTTCTCAGCTTTTGGTGGGCGTATGAATAAATCACAAAATTCGAAGTTCATTGTAGCATAAAGTTTTGGAAGCGCCAGTAAAATATTTCCTGGTCGCATCCATAGGCTGGCAAATTGAATTTTGAACAAGCTGACACCACGTCACTGTTTTATTAGCAATCTAGAAGTTAGTGAGTTTAGATAAAAATAATTAACCAGAAGTTCTTATTAAAAATATTGTACATTTTCCTATTTACCCACCAACTTCTAGAAAGCCATTGAAACAGTTAGTAAGACGTTTATCAAAGATATGATGTCCTTTTGTTTTGATTATATTCATTTCGTTTATAAAACTAGACTTCTTTTGAATGGAAATGCTGACAACTAAGTACATAAAATAACATATCACTATACCTTTAAACTGGCATCGGTCACCTCTGTACAAGCGGTTGCAGTAACAGCGATCATCCTGCCAACGTCCTTGCCCAGAACAAAGCCTTTGGGGGTCAGCGACATCACCTACGTTGAGACAGTACATTAAAACGCATGACGTGTTAACAGATGAACACATTATTTACCAATACTTAAAACATAAACTCAACAATATGCCCACGTATTCTGCATGCTTACGAGAATAATTATATCTGTGTGACGTATTATCTTTCATAATAGATCTTCAGAGATGATATTTCTCTATTTACTTTTGTTTTGTTTGTTTAACGCCGCCCTGGACCAGACAATCCAGTGATAACCATGAGAATCGATCCACGCAATTAGGATACGATGACATACATCAACCAAGTCAGCGAGCCTGACCACCCGATTCCGTTAGTCGTCTCTTACGACAAGCATAGTCGCCTTTTACGGCAAGACCTATTCTACCACGGATCTTCACGGGTCTCTCTATTTATTCCTTCAGAGTTAGATTTTGGTTTTAACACCGTTTTGAAAAGAATTTCAGTTTTATAATGGCGTGTCTGCTTAAAGTTGAAGGAAAGGTCTGACAGTTGTATAGGTTTACACGTTTACCACTTTGGTGAAACCATCTTACACAAGTGATCAGACGTTCCTGGCACGTCTAAGGGAGACTACTCTTTACAGGTAAAGTAATGAAAGCACCAGTCATTCACGTCTGCTGCTCCATTAAACACAATGATATCATTAGGTAATTTTGTTTCCAAATTTATATAATAGCTACGGTAAATACGCCAGTACTGTTACAACAGATACAGCCATAATGACATGACGATGTACCTTTAATGATTTTGATGTCGGCGCAGCTCCAGAAGAGATACTGACGGGTACACGTTCCCCACTCCAGGGCCTGTCTGATCAGTCTGAGGGTACAGCCGTCACACTCGATGTCGGGTAGGGTGATTGTGTAGCTGAGGGTTCTGTAGAAGACACACACACACCATTACAATTGACTATCTTCCCGACTATAAAAGTCCAGTTTCGCGGGAACTGGACTTTTATTGTCAGTTAGCTCCATTGCCTCGGGAAGATAGGAACTACCTTATCAACAGTAGTTTAGTCATATCAGGTAAATGATAGCCTGGTCACAGAAGCTTGGAACGCTGGTGAAAACCAATGAGGGCGGGTATAGGGTTGAAAGACAAATAATAGATGTACGGGTTATCTGGGCTTTAAGCCCACAACCAGTGGGTACTGGCAGATATAATCTTGGAATTTTGTGGCACTTCATTAACGTTATTATTTAAGAGAAACAACGTTTGAGCACAAGTATGACTGTATGAATACGTTTTCAATATATACTCACCGCCAAAAGAAACTATTGAAACATGTGGAGAAGAATGTACGATAAGACAAGACTAACAGTCAGTCAAGTGTTACCATTGAGTGTCTTCATTCCTATCACGATATGCTGCACGTGATTTCCAAACTTAACACGCTAATCCTGCACGAGACAACTGGTGCATCTCGAGTCATGGATCTATGACGTCACATGTGATGCGTTCATGAGCGTCGGTTCACACAACATACCAGTATGTTCGTTTGTGCATGAATATGAATTATTCTTCATATATTAACCAACATGTATGGTATTCGCGTTTCTCTTGTCGGTGAGTATATACTCAATATGTTATGTCCAGAGGGTGAGTGAAGAGTGTATTACTGGGCCTGTAAATAATAGAATTTGGACAAGTCAAACCAGTGAACGAAATCATGAGCACCGATCCTCCCATCGATTCACGGTGACACGCGTTCAGTCAAGTCACCGAGCCTGACCAGCTCACCCACTTTATTCGTCGCCTACGACCACCAATGGGATACTAGAAAACTATTCTTCTCGAAAATCGTGTCTTGTCGAAAATTATTGTGAAGACTATAACCAGTGGACATGTATTTCACCAATAGCCTAGGAGTCGTATAATAAGAAACTATTCATGGTATTACACAACATTGGAAGTTGCTAACATACGTGGTATCGTTGTAGCCGAGAAGTACAATTGCTCTACCGCCGGTGCTTTGGGGTTCTGCCGTACCCTCCGGCTCTGCCGTGCCCTCTGGTTCCGCCGTACTCTCTGGTTCTGCCGTTGATTCCGGTTCTGCCGTTGATTCCGGCTCTGCTGCTGTTTCGGGTTCTGCTGATGCACTTACATTCACAGTGATGGAGTCATCCTGGTAGCGCATCACTTCCCGGTCATTCCTGTCCAGGATTTGAAGGTAAAACCCTCCCTGAAAAGTTACAATTGTAACAATTACATAAGAGTAACCCAAACTAACTCAAAACCATTACCTAGAAAGCATTTCTACAACATGCAAAGCCTTAGTAAAACAAAAGTGTTATGGTAGCCATGTGGTGCACATTTCCAAATTTAAAGCGTCTGTGACAGACAAGGATGTCTGATGCAACTACCTAATTTGACTTGTAAAACATGGTTGCCTGTTTTTCGAATGAACAGTTGACATGGCTTTGCATGTGTTTTTATCGGGTGCCACAGTTCGGGCTGGATACACTAACCTTTTTGTAAACATCTGGTATCATCACTATTTGATAGTAATTAATGAACACTACGTAATTGTAGTCGGAATCGTACAATGAACTCTCATTCGTGACCAACTCCTGTTATTCCGGGACAAGCCGAATAGCGACTCGTGCCCCTCTCGTGGCCATTTTTGCGACCGGGTTCCGTCTTAGCGCAAACGGGCATACCTAAAACAATTGTCAACTCGTTGCGTAATGGTTCACACAGTTTTCCCAGATTTCCCACATTATTTCAGATGCAATTTAAAGTACATCGGGACGTGCGGAATTATACAGTATGGTTGAACACATTTAACTGTGTCTTTGGTATATTTTTAGATGCAAGACATATGTAAATTCAAAAATTATTTCTGAGGGATTCTATGACGAAGAACTTGAAATCATACGCGCATTCTGATTGGTTTGTCGTATTTTCGCACATAACATTCATCGATAGGGGGACGAGTCTTCTTGCAGGTTACGGAAAGGGACGAGTGGTGACGAATGAATGAACTCTCTGAGGTTTCTTTAGAAAATGATTTCGTCTCTTTTATTTATATTTCTAGTTGGAGAACGTATTTGACTTGGGATAGTAATAGGTTAGATTTTAACTGAAATTTGATGGTTCCCACCCAAGTGAGGTTCGATGTTGAGCAGCTGATGGTTTGGTTTAGTAAAGTTCTTCTTAAAAATTAACCTCTTATAACCACACGTGATTAAAAGGACTGGTACAAGTAGCAGCTTTAATGTCTCATGTACCGGAATACCAGAATACCAGAATACCAGAACTGTTGATACAATAAAAGCCTAACTGACCTGAAACGCCAGAACAGATGTATCAGTGTATGAAATACCCTGTTAAGAGATCCTGCCTGTAAATGTTGTGAGGTCATCAACGATAATTATACACATTACCAGTAGCTTTGAATATGTGTTGGCGATACTGACAGGTGTAATGACATCTTTTAGTTCTCCAAAAGGAGGTGTGTGTCATAGACGTCAATTATAGTTCCTGCTTAAGTGTACGGCGTGTTGGGAAAGGAATACTTAATAATATGCTCCGTTCAGCTGTTTCACACCGACCTGCATCTTGAGCGTGAGAGTGTTGGATGGAGATCGAACGTACCCGGATCAACATAAAGGGTGCTAAGTGTCTGTATGCTTAATTGCTCCATCATTAAACCATTGATGACGTTGTTGCGTTTGATTCTGGGCCAGGAATCCACTGGCCATTCTGAACGTGCATTTTGAGCAAGTTAAACTGACGCAACCATAGGTCACTATGCAAACCTATGGAAAAATTATGTTTTAAACGTAACATGGTTTAAGTCAGAGAAATCACTTAAATCACTATAAAGGATGTCGTATTCCCTGAGTTGCTAGTGACAGATATAACTGACGGTAATAAATTGGTTAAAGGCATGACATGTTCAAAATACGGACTAATTGATATTTAAACATTTATCAATAAATTTCAACTGTCAAAACCTTATCTTTTGGGCCATTATGATCCGGAAATAAGTAAAGACATGATGGATTGTATTTGAAAAGTAAATGTTTGAGATGCTTTGGGAGCTGAAGATGTATGTTCCTATTATCTACATCGTCTATATCCCAGTATTTCTGAGGTGAGGTGAAATGGGGTTTAACGTCGCGTCCAAGGTTACAGCACTTCTATAGCGATGTGCATGCACGTGTGTGTGTACGTGCACTAGTCCGGATTGATAACGGTTTATGGTGCTAGCCGACTGAGATACTATGCCGCAGTTAAACATTTATACCCCACTCAGACATAGTATACTGACTACCAGCCTACCAGTCCTTGTTTAGCCCCTTAAAGCGCCAGATAGGAAAGTACAGTTTTTTAACGTATTTTGGTATGACGCGACCGGGATCGAGCCACCTCTCCGGGAGGTCCTTTAGACAACGCTGCAATTTCCTTATCTTCCCGAGGCAAGAGCGTCCACTAGCCTTTTATCACACTAAAATGATAGCGTTGGCTACTAGAGCATTGGTATCTTAAGAGATACTGAAGCGCAGATACACATTTGTCATCACAAAAATTCTAATATATGTTCAAAATATGTACGTATTTCTTTTCTATCTTTTCAACTCAGGCCAGGCGACTAACGTGATGGGATGGTCATGCTCGGTGACTTGGTTGATTCAAGTCACGACAATAAATACTGCTGTGTCACTCCTATATATCTAAGTAGAGCAAGTGCCTTGTTTCCACAGCGGTGTCGTCAGAGTGCCCTACATATTCACTCAAACGTTACACACACGCTCTCCGGTAGCTTGCCGTCACTCATCAATAATACCCCAGAACTGTCAATACCTGTTTACATGCGAATGCTCTTGAAAGAACTTAGCAGTCCTTTCAGTCACTGAATAATATCACCAGCGGTACTCTCCCTTTATAAAGAATGTTTCTATTCAGAACGGAGGCGCTCACCTTCTCAAAGTATTCTAACTCAGTAATAACGCTTGTGAGCAGATATCTGCTGATTCATTCTTAACAAAGCCTTATTGTGACAAAAATGTTTCATAAATCAGGTTGACTTGCGTCAGTCTGCTGATTATGGAAAAGAACTTTTGTACATGCATAATAAATCTACACACATTAACAATCTAAAAAAATTGTGTTTGCTGCTATACGTCTAAATTGTCTGGCAAAGTAAGTGTGTTTTATTGACGTTAAATGCAAAAGGATGGCACATGACAAAAGAGATAACATTTTCCAACAAATAATGTATTCTTTATATCATGCAATAATTTCAAAAGTCAAGTCGATACTATAATATATATATTTTAAAGTTGATATCTTCATATTATTCTTAATGCGTACTGTTTATAGTTTCTAAGTGTACCATCACATATTTCATAATAATGTAGGCTTCATGCATATTTGTATGGCTCACTGGATCACCAGCATGTCTATTTTCGCCCGAATCACAACAAAATATTAGATATTTTTTTGGTTTGTACACAATTTCCTCATCATTAATAGAAAAAAACAGAAACTGGTAATCGAGAAATTTCATATGCTCACCAGTATGAAAAGATATGCTGAAGGCAACAATAGTGAGTTAGTGAGTTAATATTTAAAGTCACATCGGCACTATTTCAGCCATGTCGTGACTTGAACGAGTTATGCATTTATATCATGTACACGTCGTCGAAGGACAGTAAACAACTAGCAATATATCACAGATTATAATTGTAAAACTAGTTTTAGAACAATAAAATGATCAAATTATAACAGACGACACATTATATAAACGGGCTGTAGATCGCCAGCAACCAGAGTTAGGCCACCATACGTGGGACCATGGGGACTTACGGTAAATCTGCTACCGACATGGTCCCCAGCAGGATTTACACCATCCCTCTGGCTACTGGCGATGATCAGAAAGATTAGCCAAACAGTTAAAATCAACAAAAATACTACGATTAAAATCACAAATGAAAAGATACTTTGAATGATACCGGACTTACGTAGCTTGAAGGCAACAAGGAGCAGCATCTATCTGAATGTTATATTGCCTTGATTATCATTAACAAGAGATTAATATGTTTTAGATATATAACGTCAGCGCAAGAGAATAATCAGTCTCGATTATATGCAGCAACAGATTCCACTGGCCGTTTCATCGTACTGCTGTGCGACCCGTGAAGATCCGGGGTAGAATAGGTCTTCAGCAACCCATGCTTGCCGTAAAAGGTGACTATGTTTGTCGTTAGAGGCGACTAAGGGGATCGGGTGGTCAGGCTCACTGACTTGTTTGATGCATGTCATCGTATCCCAGATTAATGGTCATGATGTCAATCACTGGATTATCTGGTTCACACACACACACACACACACACACACACACACACAAGTCATGTCATTATATCCTGATTGAGTGGATCGATGCTCATGATGTCAGTCACTAGATTGTGTGGTCCAGACTCGATTATTTACAGACCGCCGTCATATGGCTGGAATATTGCTGGGTGCAGCGTTAAACAACAAACAAACAAACAAACAAACACAAACAAATCGTGCTGCTGTACGGCGTCAGGCAACAAACAGATACTGCTTTATGCAAATTGTGGAAGTGGCGGGTGGAACCGGTAAGACAGAACATTCCCTTTTCGCAAACACCCGGTGTTATCACTGATTTCCAGTGATCCATTCATATAATTTCCCACCCGTATGCCTTTTCCGCCCAATGGAATCTGTTTCGTCGGATAATCGAGACAGGTAATACTCTGGCGTTTTCTAAGTTTTATATCTAATGTGTATCTTATCTGACCACCACACAAATCATTCTTATATAAATTTCAAAGCATGTTGGTTAGTGAACGTAGTGCACAAGCTGCATGTATAAACTACTAGTATATGTAAGGTTCCTGTGACCACTCACTTGATGTGGGTACGCTATGTGCCATGTGACGTTTATTTCAGACCCTGCTTTGAACTCTGTCTTGGGACCAAGACCTGAAAACAAATCCCACAAATATTAACACATAAAATACAAACGTTTTTTTTCTTGTTTCTTCTTATAAAACAAAATCACATCAGTTCAAACAAATATTGTGGAATGTTAATGATATTTGAAAATAATTATGCTTATACACATTGTAGCATAGTTTGCTGGAACTGTCCTTTTTATTTTGAATGAAAATAATAAACATGATAAGTAAATCAGACATATTTTCTCGTATTTAACAAAATAAAGAATCGACGTCTTAAAAATATGTTATGGGTAGAAAAATATTCTTTTCGAGAAAAATATTTTTCTTGCACAAGGGACAATAGCCTACTCTGTTTGTTGCAATGTTATCAGGCGACCAGACATGTGATTGTCCACTAAAATCCCCCTGAACTGCATTGTTAATCCATATTTATCTGACATACATATTCAATGCACGATTGGGTCAGCTTTCCAACAAAGGGCATCATTTCAAAATTTCATAACCCGGATATACTTGATTGTCACTTGTCTCGCTGGGCATATCCCATAATCCCATGTTCCTGTGACCCCGCTTTCGAAATGTCACATTTGCATCCTCTGTACCAAATTGTCCGACTCCCCATTGTTCTCGGTGCCCTAGGTTTGGTATTTCCCAATTTGTTGACTGACATTGGAAGAGTACACGGGTTTGCTACCAGGAATACAGCCCTTCTGACAATCTGGGTAATGCAGAAGGCTGCAGTGTTGGGGAGTTTTCACATTCTCCGGTGGGTTTGACTAGTGAGAAGTCCCATTAGCTGTCTGGGATGCATGTGGATGGGACAAGGGCCCTGAGCTAATGATGAGCCTAACCAGCCTGGCTGTGCCAGGATCACCCAAACCCTTTTTGCTGCATTTTGAAAAATCTGTATATAATGAGGAAGAGAATATATGGATGTCAACTTCTTTATTATGAGGTAAACACACACACACACACACACACACACACACACACACACACACACACACACACACACACACACACACACACACACACACACACACACACACACATCTTGAATCGATAATCTGTCATAAAGACTTCAGTTCAGTGAAAACTCTTTATTGTCATTATCTATGCAGCTGACCTATTGACCCCATCATTAACGACCTTTATCCACTCATGTACGACATAGGTCAAGACATTTTATGATATTCATATGCTTCAAAAGCTGCTTGATAGTTGTCATCCATTAAGCGACATATTTACTGTTGACGTCAGGTCATAACCCCATTGTACCAGTGTGTCTGGGAATTAAGTGTAGTGCTTATTGTAAATGTCGTGTTGATGTGGGCAACGCTTCAGTGATAAAGACTTGCCCGGGAGATGACGCTAGGGTGAGGTGAGGTGAAATTGGGTTTAACGTCGCGTCCAAGATTATTGCACCTATATAGCGACGTGCATGCACGTGTATGTGTGTGTGTGGCTGCTTGTACTAGTCCGGACTGATGCCGATTTATAGTGCTAGCTCACTGAGATACCATGCCGCAGTTTAACATGAATACCCCACTCAGACACAGTATACTGACTCCGAGCCGACCAGTCCTTGTTTTAGCCCCTTAATGCCGAGCGCCAGACAGGGTAACAACAAGTACAATCTTTTAACGTCTTTTTGTATGACGCGGCCCGGGATCAAACCCTGGACCTTCCGCTCTCCGGGCGGACGCTCTACCACAAGACCACGGAGGCGGTCATCACGCTAGGGTACCTGTCTTGCTATTTGCACATAAACCTGTCATATCCATAAGACGATGTACAAGATTTGAAGTACTGAACAATTCACAAAATAGGTGAAACAGTGAACCGTATCACTGGAAACAAAACAACAACGAAATCAGAAAGCAGAGTCACAGCTCCACTAAATATATAACATACATTTAAAAATATCAATCTATTAATTGATTAATAATCTTTTGCGCCAAATTATTCACTTTTACATCACGTCGATAGTCTGTAATCGCGTTTGAAAGAGGCAAAGAGGCGTTATAGCGGGAATAACTACAGATGTCGGGACACAGTGATACCCAGTGAGTCAGGTCACGCATTGGTGCATCGCGGGCCTAATTTTGACGGGCTGTTACTGCAAGCACGGGGCGACTAGGGACTGTTCTGTTTAGGAAATCTGTTGGAGATTCATTTGTCGCTAAGCATATGAATAAGGAACTCTATTTGTTGAGAAAACCTGTTCTGGATAATCGTATTTGTAAACACTGTAATACCAATAGCATTGAAGACGAGATACACTTTTTAACAAATTGAAATATCTATTTAGACTTATGTTTGGAACCGTGCCTCGTCTTTGAATTAAAATTTAAGATCTTGGTCACCTACAGACCCAATGAAATATCTAATACAGTGCTAGGATTTGTCAATCCCTGTTAAGAATATGTTTAAGAGTAGACTCTATAATACATAATGTTCATTATAGCTTTTTGTGTAGCTAGCACCCCTGCCTTTATTCTTTGTTATAAAATTATTGACCGTTTAACGGTAACTGGTGTCTAATGGGCCCTAATTGGGGGATTGCCTAAAAGTCGGGCCAAGAAAAGTCGGGCCGGGCCGGGCCAGCGGGTAATACTTAAAATGGATTGCAGAATAATATAACGAAACGTGCATATATAGGCAGATCTCAAATGTCCAGAAACGGATAGTTTTGCTCATTTAATTGAGTTTGAATCAAAATGTATCTTCAGCAATGTAAGAAACTGATAATTATAGCTACATACCGAGAGTTCATACCGAAAAGTCAGTGTCTATATATCTAGCAACTTTTTTTTATATAAACATCATTCAGCATCAAATACTGTCTTGAGGCGCCTAGACAGAATACAATACAAAGCCCTAATGCTGGTCACAGGCGCAGCAACAGGCACCTCACTAGAAGCACTACAAGTAGAAACGGGAGAACTACCATTGAAACTAAGAAGAGAGCAGGCAATATTATCGTTCTGGGGACGAACATCAAACCCTTTGGTTTAAAAGATATGGCAAGACAAAAACACTCGAGATGAAGCCCTAGCTCGAAAAAATCCCTCACTAAAGCCATCTGGGATATTAGTACGTGAACTCATTCGAAGTCACAATTGCGATGACATTCAGCCTCCAGAAAGTCACTACAAAGGGTTACACCCTCCCTGGACTTTACAAACTCCCAAAGTTGACACTGCTTTAACATCAGAAGTCACTAAAAGAGAAAACCCAACCCTACTACGATCAGTAGCTATCACTTAAATTCGAACTACCTGGGACAGCTTGGCCCATATGTACACTGATGGATCCAAGAATCCTATCAACAACAGTGCTGGTTACGGGATCCATATCCACAGCTCCAAACCCCAAGCACATTCAGTTCGCTTGCCTGATGGTCAGTCAGTATTCACGGCTGAATTGGAGGCAATTCATCATGCACTCAAACTCATACCGGAACTCCCGGAAGCAAAGGCAGTCGTCCTATCAGACTCGCTAAGTGCACTTCAGGCCATCAGTGGCAGAAACTCAAACTCCAGGCCAAACACAGTCAACAATATTCTTTACGAATATACAAAACTATCGGACCAAGGGCAACAGGTGGAGCTGTGTTGGATCCCCTCTCACATAGATATTCATGGAAATGAAAAAGCAGACTCACTGGCGAAGTTAGCTCTAGACAAAGCGGATATACAGCCTATTCCCTTTAGTAAACTAGAGATAAAAAGCAAAATCAAAGCCTCCGTAGCAGAAAGATGGCAAGCCCAATGGGACGCAAGTAAGATCGGCAGATGGCTATACAAAATTCAACCCAAGGTCAAACAAAAGCCAAACTCATACTCAAATGAAAGGAAAATTGAAATTGCTATCTCACGCCTCAGACTTGGTCACAAAAAGCACTATGACAAGGTTTGTTCATCTTGCAATCAGGCTGAAACCATTGACCACGTGTTACTAGAATGTCAAGACCATGCCCCAGCCCGGGCTAGGTTAAAACAAGAATTGCAGTTAGATCCGCTATCTGTCATAGATCTCCTAAAGCCAAGAGATGCAATAGCGAAGGCCAAACTAACTCTATTTCTGAGAGATGGACAGCTACTCGAACGTATATAAACAGAGCAGCCAAGGATAAAAATGAAATCATATCAATATAAGAAAATAGAAATCATATCAATGCAAAAACAGAAATTATGTGAACACCGAACTCACAATAGATATGTGTAGCCTACTCACACACAGGAGTCCCAAAGAGGGACAGGTCAGCCGAAACTGCCTAGGCAGAAGGCGACCTCTTAAACACCTAATGCAACAACAACAACATATAAGCAACCCCTAAAGCCCCCTACTGGGTTGCACACACCACTTTCGCACCTTTCGGAAACACATTAAATGGCCTGGTCGGGCCCGTGTGCGAAAGCGCACGTTAAATCTCCAAAGTGAGTGAGTGAGTGAGTGAGTTAGTGAGTGAGTGAGTGAGTGAGTGAGTGAGTGAGTGAGTGAGTGAGTGAGTGAGTGAGTGAGTGAGTGAGTGGGTGGGTGAGTGGGTGGGTGGGTGGGTGGGTGGGTGAGTGAGTGAGTGAGTGAGTGAGTGAGTGAGTGAGTGAGTGAGTGAGTGTGGGTGGGTGGGTGAGTGAGTGAGTGAGTGAGTGAGTGAGTGAGTGAGTGAGTGAGTGAGTGGGTGGGTGGGTGGTTGGGTGGGTGGGTGGGTGGCTGGGTGAGTGAGTGAGTGAGTGAGTGAGTGAGTGAGTGAGTGAGTGAGTGAGTGAGTGAGTGAGTGGGTGGGTGGGTGGTTGGGTGGGTGGGTGGGTGGGTGGGTGAGTGAGTGAGTGAGTGAGTGAGTGAGTGAGTGAGTGAGTGAGTGAGTGGGTGGGTGGGTGGTTGGGTGGGTGGGTGGGTGGCTGGGTGAGTGAGTGAGTGAGTGAGTGAGTGAGTGAGTGAGTGAGTGAGTACGGTACAGAAACTGAAGTAAGTTGGGCTCTCTTAGTTTTCTGTATGCTTACACATCATCACGTCATACTGGATT